GTGCCCGTCCTGCCCACTCGTAGCAACCCTATAGGGCAGGCTAGAACTGCCCCCGTGAGTTTCTGAGACTGTCACAGTTTACAGGAGTAGAAAGCCCGTCTTTGCCTGGTGGTTTTCAACCTTGCAGATCACAGCCCCGCCTGTAACCAGTGGCCCACCAGGGCTCCTTTACACGAGGAGATAGATCATGAGTGAACAGCTGGGAAGTGTTCAGACAAGTGCCCGGCCAGACCTGAGTGACCACTGCCATTATTATGACTGCCCCTCAGGACCTGGCACAGAAGGTTCCCGAAGAGACTGATGCCTGCCTGGGGTTCCAGGCTCCCCAGGCTTGTCTGATGCACCAGGATTCCAGGCCCAGATAATAACTCCTCCTACCTGGCCCACCGCAATCTACCTCGGCCAAGTGGAACAGTCAGGCATCAAATCAAGAACCCCTGCGCCTCATTTTCCCAGCAGTAACACGAGGGCCTGCTTGTCTGCTGGCCTCGAAGACAACGGAGATCTCAACCTCAAATATAACTTAAGGAATCGTTTATTCAGTCTCAAACAGGAGAAATACAAGCCAAAGGCACCATATCCGGGTGAGAGAGACCACGAGTGTGAGGGCATAATGGTGTTCAAATGTTCCAAGCCACACCGCTGCTTAAACAAGGCATGGGACACAAAGGAAACTCACCAACTCGTGACCGGTGTGGAAGATCGACACTCCCAGGCGAGTGTCTCAGGGGATGGCCCTAGGCTGGTTAGAGGGAGTGGAGGTAAGCCGCTTTCCAATGCGCTCTGCCTGAGCCTCAGACCATTCACACTCCTGATCAAAGGACACAAGAATTCCAGGGGAGGCTTAATCAGTGGAGGTGGGGGAGGGGTGGAAGTCTCCCCAAATGGATTTTGAGCTTTCCCTGTCCTGCATAGCCTTCTGAAAACCCCTGCTGGAAATTTAAACCCTGAAACACAGCTTGCTACCATTTTCAAAAGGCGAAGGTAAGACCCTAGGCCTGCCTGGCTTAGGGAGGCGCCTCATAAAATCACCTGCGTGGAGACTGCCTGAACAGTCCGCTAACGTTTCATCCAGGGATCTGGGCTCCGTAAGCACAGGCCCTGTCTCCCCGCGAGGGCCCCCCTCTGTGGGGTTAAAGGGGAGAAGGGACCCCACAAATCATCACAGGTCTGGTAGGCGCAATTGCACAGCGATAATAAGTAAAGGTGATAGTAAAGTCATCGGGCGCATGAGAGAGAGAAGAGATATTACAAGGATGCAGTCGGACACATTACATGGTAGCATTGCTC